ACACACACACACACACACACACACACACACACACACACACACACACACACACACCAAAAAGCACCTCATCAACTAGGTGCACAATTCCTGTGTTTTTTCTCTGTATGTTATGTGGCACTTTAGACTGTAGGGGAAATGAATCAAAATTAGGGTTAAATTATGACCGTTGTCATTTCTTTTTAAACAAGGAAAGTTTCTTTTGAGGACTTGTAATCCATTGCTTGTAATTACCACATATTAAAGGACATTTGGTTCAGATGATGTATCTTTTGTTACTCGTTATAATCACACCACAGAGCAGTTTAAGACTTTGTAATGCTTTTTTTCCCACCGAAATTTAAGGAGAAAAATGAAACCACACCAAAGTATTCTTTCCTGTAAACCTCATAACGTATCCTACCTATCTAAGGTGAACTTTATCTTTTCTGTTTCTCTCCTTCCTTCCTAATGATAAACTGATGACTTGGAGAGTGTTATTTTCATAACATACCTTGCGGTTGAGCGTTCAGTCGCAAACAGGTATTTCAGCTGCATCCATGCAGGGCTGCTGCTGTGTAAATGGTAAACTTAGACGTCTGGGCTTCTTTTCTCATTAAGCCTTAGTGAAAAGAGGAGGAAGAATGGCCCTACCTGGGGAAGGGGTGGGGTTTATGCAGGGCCTAATAATAATCTCAAAAACAGCACAGCTATTTTTCTGTCCCTTTCTTTTCAACCCCATCTAGTCTTGTAGTGTGAAATTCAACATATGAATCTTGAGTAGGAAATGGCTAGTTAGATATTTTATACATGCAGTCTACCAATTTATTAGAATTCTATGGGTGGGGTGTTGGGGAGAAAATAGGAACAGAAGCCAGGCAAAGGTAGTACAATCGGAAAATGTATTTGTACCTTCTCGGACTTTTTAAATTGTTTTCAAGGAAATGATTTTGTTGCCCTAAACTTTCAAAGCTAAAAAACCGCAGACACGGGTATTTGTGGAACTGAGAGTCATTTTGAGAATTTTAATTCCTTCACCACATCCTTTTAAATGAAAAGTCAGGTTTTGAATTTCCACTACCAAGTGGGCACTTAATGAGCATCTCAGCACATGATGTACTCCACGGGTCTTCAGATAATAAGCTGCAGAAATGTGTCCCTGGCACACAGGACTGCTTTCTTGAAGTGGTCATGGAGGACACTGTTTACCATCTTAGCGGCTAAGACTAGGTAAGTTAGGATGTTCTTACTAAGACACTAGTCTAAGGAATAAAATGAGTAACCCAGCAATTGAAAACCTGCAGTTTGAGAATTCATTCTGTCAATTACCTTGTGCTAAAATTAAGGCTGTGAAGAGAGGGAAGAGGGATTATATGAGCAAGGTGGGTTAAGATCATCATGGGGAAATCTACAGAGACAACTGAACCAAGCTCGTAGGAACTCACTTTTAGACTGACAGCTGTGGAACCTGCATGGGACTGGACTAGGCCCTCTGCATAGTGGAAACAGTTGTGTAGCTGGGTCTGTTTGAGGGGCCCCTGGCAGTGTGATTAGGATCTGTTCCTGGTGCATGAGCTGGCTTTCTGGAGCCCATTACCTATGATTGCACAACTTACACAGCCTTGATGCAGTGGGGACGGGCTTGGACCTGCCTCAACTGAATGTACCAGGCTTTACTGACTTCCCATGGGAGGCCTTACCCCTTTTGGGGGGAGGGTTGAGACTGGGAGGGGTAGCAGGAGGAGGGATGAGAGGCGGATCTGTGGTTGGTATGTAAAAGGAATAAATTTTTTTTTAAATAAAAAAGAACTAAGCGTGTTAGATACAGGCATAATGATAAAAACGCAAGGCATATACAGGCAATATATAGCTTTTTGTGGTCGTAAGAGTTTTCTAAGTAGTTTTTAAATAAATGCTAAGAAATATAGAATGAATTTGAGGCTAGCCTGGTCTACAGAGAGTTACGGTACAGCCAGGGCTACATAGAGAAACTCTGCCTCAGGGAAAATAAAAAAAGAAATACCTTAAAAAATGAACTGATACTATTATTGCAAGATAGAACCATGTGTGTATAGAGCATCCAAGGGAATTATTTAAAGTTACAGGTAAGGTTACTATTTATGGCATTTGAGAGCTAAGTGTCTCCCGAAATATAAGTGATATCTTGTACAAGTGTTCTGAATAACATCAGAATGGTTGCTTCTGGCCTAAAGGAAACTAACAACGGCAAAGTGCACTTTCCAGAAAAATTGAATAAGTTGAAGATGATTATCCTGCAGTATGGCCTTTCTAGTATGGTGAACACTCAACTCCAAACTTAAAGGAAAGAAAGTGTGTGTAAAATAATATTATTTTATTTTATTTTTTGGTTTTTCGAGACAGGGTTTCTCTGTGTAGCTTTGCGCCTTTCCTGGGACTCACTTGGTAGCCCAGGCTGGCCTCGAACTCAGAGATCCCCCTGGCTCTGGCTCCCAAGTGCTGGGATTAAAGGTGTGCACCACCACCGCCCGGCATATTTTTTTATTTTATTATAAACACAAGTGATAAATATGTACTTCACTTATTTCCAAAGAACAAAGATCCATGCTGCTGTAGGGGATCCACTGATATTCTAGTTGTAGTCTAGGAAGGTTCTAGGAAGTCAAGGGTCAACTACATTGTCCATTTTCAAATTCTGTCACTATTTGTGACCTTAAGACAGTTAACTTTCTAGTTTTTCAGTTTATCTGCTAAATGGATATAATAGGGAGTATTATGGGGTTTAATCCCCATTGGATTAAGAAATTGACTATTGGTATAGGGCAGGAAGGAGCTCAAGTGCATGTGTATACACACACACACACACACACACACACACCTCGAGTGCATGTGTATATATACACACACACACACTGGCATGTCAGCCTCTAACATTGTAATTGTCACCAAGTCCCCTCTGTTGTATTTGTCTCATTTGAAAATGTGCATTAATTTTAAGAATTTCCTTGGGAATGAAAACAGTTGAAATTGGCCAAGACATACCTTTTCTATTGGTCTGCACACAATTTCATTTAAAAATGAATTCTAAAAGTTTCATTGAATTTGGAAGACATCTTTCTGTCGTCTTTCTGTTCAATTTGAATGAAGTCATGACATCTTTGTACCACTGCTATAGTCATTCACAGCTCTGTCACAGAGGTGATTTTAAAAAGGGAAGTGAGCCAAGTGTTGGTGGTACATGCCTGTTAACTCCAGCCTTCTCTAACCAGAGCCAGAAGGATTGACACTTATTCCAGGCCAGCCTAGGCTATAAAGTGAGGTTCTCTCTCTAAAAACTCCATGAAGGCAAACTCCGAAGCCAAGAAAAAGTGGCCATGTGGTGATTTAGTAGTACAGAAATGTAGGCTCACCCCTGTAGATACGCTATCACTCAACTGGGAAGCTTGAATTTCTCTATTTGCTCTCTTTACTTCCTTTTCTTTCCCAAAGCCTAATATTTCTTGACAATGAATGAAACATGAGAAGACTTAGACATGCTTAGAAAAGAAGCCAAGCTGAACAATCCAAATGCTAATTTTGACAGGTGCAAACTGCATATTTTTGGTAAACAGAGAATGCAATGATATCCAACGAAATAAAGTAAATCCTTTAATCATAGGTTCTACCGCAGGTGTGTCACATTAAACAGAGCCTTAATTGTTGAAGAAATGCACAACAGAGTTGGGGAGGAATGGAGAGGCTCACATAAAGAATTTTGAATGACTGACATGACATGGAGGCTATAATTTACCTGTATAGTTTTCCCAAAACAGTTATACCAAGTTACTGTTGTATGGCAGTTTACGCAACTTACTTACCTACTAGTTTAATTCAACAGTTTTCATTCTGAGTTCAAAATAAACATTCCCCAAACTAATTGGTGAAAGCACCTATTTTGTGTTTTAAGGTTGAGTATCTTTCAAACATTGCTTGCCTTTCAAACTTTTCCCTTAGGAATTAATCCATTTTCTCTTGGCATTTAACTTATACCTATTCTGTGGTTCTTTATATATAAAGACTTAGTTTAATATATGCTGAATTCTCTAGTCTGTAGGACTCTAATCTGTTCTCTTGTGTGGCTTGGCTCTTAAATCTTTTTAAAAACCATCAGAGCTTCATGTAGTTATCTACAATGCAGTATCATTACAGCTTTATCTTTGCTTGCTAGGACACGGGCTATTGCTGCACTGACACCTGCTGTCCATTCCTACCTTATTTATTTACTTAGCATTTATTTGGCCTTAAAGAATATTAGGCATGTATTTATCTGAAAACATTCACCAGAAGTATGTTAAAATAAAGCATTTCAAGAAAAACCATGGTTCTGATTGCCTGTTAGGTCCCAGACAGTAGCACAGATATAAGTTAAAGGCTCCATAGTTCCAACGCTAGGAGGGCAGCATGACCAGTTCATCCTTGGCAATGAGCTGCCTCTCACTCAGCAGCACTGTTAGACTAAAACTCTAGTTGACTTGAAATCCTGTCTCGTAGTAGAATATTTGAAGGTGTGTTGCTTTTGTTTATGTTGCATTTGTTTAACTCTGGGAAGCTGTGTTACTGTGCCTGTGTAAAACACCTGGTGGTCTAATAAAGAACTGGGCAATAGCAAGGCAGGAGAAAGATTAGGCAGGGCTGGCAGACCGAGAAAATATAGAGAGGTAGAAATCTGGGAAGAGAGCTCTAAGATCTAGGAGCCAGAGAAACAGGAGGACTCCAGGTGCCAGCCACCCATCTACATAGCAAGCTATGGAGTAAGAATAAGATTTACAGAAGTTAGAGAATGGGAAAAGGCCAGAGGTAAAAGGTAGGCAGGATAATTTAAGATAAGGAAAGCTAGCTAGAAACTAAGCCAAGCTAAGGTCAGGCATTCACAATTAACAAGCTTCTGTGTGTGTGATTTATTTGGGAGCTGGGTGACAGGCCCTTCAAAAAAGAGCAAAGACCAACCAATAATATTTTGAAAGTAACACACCTTAAAATATCCTACTAAAATCTCTCAAGCAGATATCCTCAGGAAAACAGCATGCTGGTGTAAACACTCTAGGTAATGATAAACAATGATAACTTAGGGTTCGATTAGTATAGAAGCTTGAAGCCATCCGTTGCTGAGTGGAGGGTTTAAAGGCATTCTGTGGAATCTGGTCCTTTCCTGAAGTCTTCCTGACCATTACTTCCTAAGAACAGCTTGCTTCTGATTCTTTGGAATCGAGTAGCTTGAGAACTCCTAAGACATGATTATTTCCCTCTATAATAGGAATCAGTATCAGCATACTTAACTGTAGGTGAATTCTGGGGAGCTCTGCTTGGGGGAAATTAGTATTATGGCATTTCCTTAATAAATCAACAAAAATATTCTTTATTAGAAATTTTTCTTACTAAAAATTCAATTGCAGTTATAAGTAGATCAAAAAAAAATCCAAGCCAATATACTACTGCTGCTTAGAGATGATTTCTGACCAGCATATGGAATTATTTCTTTACGTACATAAACTCGTCATGAGGCAAGGTTTACGCAAAAACACTTTGATGGGATACAGCTTGACATAACTAATGTTGTCTTGGTCAAAACTGCCACCTTGCCTGGCCCATATGTTACTCTAGAGGATAGTTGTTGAGATGTGAGATGAACACCTGTGGTGGGCACGAACACACAGGCTGCCTCATGAGTGACATGCGTTAACAGCTTCTCCGAAAGCCCAGGTATGGCTTCCCACAGCAACCCTTCTTTCTCCTGCAGGGTGCTGGGTCTTCCTCGCAGCTGCAGGTCTCACACATGACAGTCTGTAATCCTGGATGGTTAGCCTCCTCCTTCACCTTCTGCTTCTACCTTCAGCAGTCAGTTCTCCTGACTGGCTTTTCCTGAAACTGTTTTCTGGCTGTTTGTTTATTTGTTTTCATTTTCAGGGGAATAGATATACTTAGGTTTCCTTTAAACAATCTTCTTAGAGTATGCTTTGATGATAGTGGAAAATATCCAACATCTAAGCTTTACCAATCAACCAAAGGACCAAAATGTTATTACCTTTAAAATAAAAACATCTGGGAAAAAAAAAGAAAAAAAAAAAAAACAGCAATAATTCCACAAAGACCAGGGATTTAAGGAGGCATTTGGGATTTTTTCAAGTTCCACATGACCAGACAGAAAATGCAAGCTATTAGCTAAAGGGAGAGACACACTCATGTTTTCCCTGATTAGGTGCTACACTTAAATTTTTCATATCCACAAAGCTATTTTCAATAAGTAAGTTCCCTTCAGAATTCATAAACTGTTACAACATGGTCTTTTTAATTTCAAAAATCATTCATAGTATACGGTTTTAGCAAACAACTATAGATACAGCATATATGGATTTCCTAGATTTAGCAACTGCTACCAACTGTTTTTAGAACATTAGATACTAATGATAGGGCCACAAAGGCTATTTTTTAAAGTGGATAACAGGGGGTAATTGTTCTGCAAACATCAGCTTTATAGTATTATTACAGTTAAGCTGTACACCTTTGGGCCAGATGTGCCGCTCACCTATGTAATCCCAGCACTCAGCATTGCTGAGGCAGGACTGGTGTGAGTTCAAGGCCAGTATGGGTGACACTGGGCCAGCCCAGGCTACACACAGAGTGAGACTCTGTCTTAAAAAGGAAGGTTTTACAATTCATAAACAATAAGTTAATATAGAACAATGCTTAAAAACAAAAACCACAACCAACTCCTTAAGAGCCATCAAGTTTCTTATAGGCTTCTTGAATGAACGCTGACATGTCCTTCACTGGGGATGAATTATGAAGGACATCCAAGTCCTTCAGAAGAGCATTCTGGTTTGGAATTACTGCCAAAATTTCTTCCTGTGGGTAAGACAGTACAATTAATTATAGCACTTTATGATGAAAAAATGTCATATGTCTGTTCTTTGGAGATCTGTATAATAATCTTAAGTACCCACCACCCCACTTTACTAGTCATCAACTGATGGCCATTCATTTTCAAGTAAGTCTTTCCTTCTCCCATCCCTGCTTTGCTGGAGCACTACAGATAATGAGCATTTATATGACAACATCCATGAGCTCCTCAGCAGAAAGACAAACTACCAGCGTAGAGATGAATGTCAAATACTCCAGTGCTAGTGCATAAAGGGCTGTACGTCACTGTTAAAAGTCCAAAGTTAGAGAGGTATGTACCTGTCGTTAGGACTCTATAGACATGTGAAAATATATGAAGGAGTGGACTATAAAATTACTCATTTCTATCAGTACTTTACAGCAATGGCATATCTGTGCAATTGACTGTTAGTTCAATACTGATAAGAATAGTCTACATGAATTGACGGAAAAGGGGTTCAATTAAATGCTAAGTAAGAAAAGGAATTTGTCAAGAAATTTATAACAGGATTAGTTTAAAGACATGGGATATGGTTTTATATGAGTGAGTGTGGGATGTGTATGTGTGTGTGTGTGTGTGTGTGTGTGTGTGTGTAATACAGCCTAGCAATAGTATGGCAAAGGTACTTACTTGAAGTGTGGGTGCTTTAAGACTTTTCTGAGAAAGTTCTGGAAGAGACAGTACCTTATTACTATCCAGGTGAAATTCCTAAATAAAAGAGAGCTAGGGATTATTTCAAAAGGCTGGTTTTGTTCACCTTACAGAATTCAAGTTACCTTGGTAACACTTTGGCATTAAAACTTATAGTTAAATACTAGCAATATGGTTTTGAAGCATTACCTGTTTCACCTTCTGCTCCTCTTCCTCTACCTCATTTGTCAGAATCTGAATCTTGTTCTTTAGGCTCTGAATACTTTCAGTCATTGACTCTGTGGTCTCTACTATTTTGTCTATTTCTTCCTGAAGCAAAAAGACAAGTTAATATTTTAAAGTAAACGTCTTATAAATGAAACACCAGGAGACTGTACACATATAATACCTTATATTTTAAGACACTTTGGACAAAAATGGCAATTTTACTTTTGCTTATCTTTCAAAAACAGAGCCCCTAGAAAGCTGCTTGGCTACTATAACATGAATTACAAGGAAACTTACTTTTATAGGATAAGGAGATAACTGCCCATCAATGCTTCTTTAAAACTTAACACAGAAGCTAACAAGTACCAGAGGTTCTGGGGGATATCTTTCTGTATGCTGTGAATATATGATGTTCCCATTGGTTAATAAATAAGCTACTTTGGACTATGACAAGGCAGCTTAGAGGCAGGTGGGAAATCCAAGGAGAGAGACAGGAAGGGGAAAGCCAGAGTCTAGAGAGATGCCAGCACCGGCAGGAGAAGCAAGATGTGAAAGTACAGGTAAAGCCATGGCCATGTGGCAACTTCTAAATAGAAATAGGTTAAGTTATAAGCGCAGCTAGCAAGAAGCCTGCCATAGGCCATCCAGTTTGTAAATAATATAAGCCTCTGTGTGTTTACCTGGGTCCGAGCAGCTGCAGGACCGCGGGGCTGGGCAAGATCGGAGAAACCTTCCAACTACACAGAGGTCCTGGAAAACCCTTGTATGAGTCTTGCAGAGCCCAAGGACTAATGACACCAAGCAACAGCATTTGTTAAGTAGCATATAATTTCAAGTGCCAGAAAAAAATGAAAATATTTTTCATTTTAGTTAGGAACATTTGAATGCCTGTTTTAATATGCCAAAAGAATGAAATGCTAGGCAGTGGGATTAAAAACACTGTATGAGCATTTTATAAATTAAAGAAATATGTTTGTTAATTTATAGAGAAAGACAAATATGCAAAATGAATGAAATTAGTTAACGAAATAACAAGAATATGCTGATTGCAGACCAAGTACAGTATAAACCAGTTTCTGGGTTATTAAAGTTGCACTATTTTAAAGTATATCTTAGACATCATACCACTTCATCTGTAAATATTTCAATGCACAACTATGAAGGACTTAACAATATGTAAGATCTGCATCACATTAAAATCCTACTAAGTTCCATAATGTTGAATATGTTATTAACATATTTTATTTCCTTGTACACAGAAACTACTTTATACTTTGAGTCAGGATCCATATTGGTTACGATTAGTTTATTTTTCCTCTAAGTAGGTTTTTTGTCCAATTCTTTATGTCACTGGAATTCCTAGGTAGAAGGAAGTAGGCTGTTTGTTTTTACGAATGCTCCAGGGCTTGAATTCTGTGAACTGCATTCCATAGTTAAGTTAACCTGTTCCAAAGCATCACGCTGTTATGAACTGACTGCTGTACTTACAAAGTGTGGATTAAGACAATTATAAAGTAAACACCACATATATTAGTTTACGATGGCTACTCTAACAGATCAAAAGGGGCATGCAATGATTTATTCTGTTACAGTTCGGAAGGGCAATAGCCCAAAATAAAGGTGATGGTTTGGCTATGATCCCTCTAAATTATCTGGAGGCCCGAGGAGAGTGTGTGGGGATTTGGCTTCCCAAGTCCCCTCTCTACTTTGCAGGGGGTCTTTATCATCTGTGTATGTTTCCTTTCTCCTACTGTATGTGTTTCTTTGGCCCCAATAAAAGCCTTCCTCCAATGCTGATTTGCTGTGTTACAGATTTCTCCACTGCTACTCACTGAACAAGATTTTCCCGGCCTTCATTCATTCATTCATTCATTTATTTTTGGTACATGATTTCTCTGTTCAGCCCTGGCTGTCTTGGAACTCCTTCTGTAGACCTCATTCTGAGATCCTCCTGCTTCTGCCTCCTGATGTGTGCTACCACTCAGCTATTTCCTGCCTTTTAATTCTTTTACTGGCAGAGAAAACAAACCCTATCAAGACTCCAGATGGTAATATTTTTGGGACCTTCACCTCAGAATTTGTTCTGAGGATCACGAAGATCTTCTGAATCATGAAGATGCTACCTCCCTCAAATGTCACAATCCAAAGAGACATGCTATCACCAATGGAGAGCGTAAGTTTTATTGTGGTCACTTAGATCAGTCTCCCCTGAGGCCCTCTGACAGTTCCTCCTCCCTCATCACCACCCATTTTGACAGCTCAAAGGAGCTAGAGTGGTAGGCACCCTATCCCCAAACCCCTAACAGTAGTTAGGGTGACCTCTAAAAAGGGGAAATGAGGGATTAGGAGTTGGACATATTTCCTGGTAGGTAGACAGATAGGGAGAGGGGCCATGGCTAGGTAACAAAGGTGGCAAACTCCCAAGATGGCCAGCTTCTTCCTTACTCTTCAAATCTGAGATAAAAGCCTGGCAGCTTAAAACAAAGGCCTTGTGACTCCCTCTACCCCAGTTGGCTCCTTGTTGATAGACTGGCTATCCTGTCTTTCTTCAAACCGACCAACCACTAAATTAGGGGAGGAAGAGTCTTCAGAGAGTTAAAAAACCCCCATCCAGGTGAAGAGACTGGATTTTCAGCTTCCTGAGATCCCCCTGCTTTGTGAAGGGCCTTTCTCCCTGTGTTCTGCTGTGTGTCTGTTTCCCCAATAAACATCTTTATTTAATTTCTGAAAAAAAGATTCTATGGGCAAGCCGGGCATGGTGGCACATGCTTCCAACCACAACATGTAAAGACTGGGGCAGGAAGATCACGAGTTTTGAGTATAGCCTTGGAGCTATAAAACCTTGTCTCAAAAAACCCAAAATTATAGAGATTTCTCCCTTGTCTATTTAGGTTTTTGATAGCATTCCTTGTGACTGCACTATGCCTCTTACCTGTGGCTTGACATGGCCTTCTCTTTGTTTCTGTATTTTCTCTTGCTTCTTGTAAAGACATTTGTCTTTGGATCTAAGAACCACCCATGAAATCCAGGAACATCTCATTTTGAAATTCTTCAATCCCATTAATTAATTAATTAATTAATTAATTAATTAATTAATTTTGAGACAGCTGAGTAACAGGCCAGCCAGGGCTGCACAGTGAGACCCTGCCCTCTGCCCTCCCCCAGTCCACATCACTCACTAAATGAAGAGTTACATACAATATGAATGACGATCTTCTTTATGACACTAGGAATGGTGGCATATATATATAATTAATTCAAGCATTCAGGAGGCAGGGGCAGGAACATTTCAATTTGATGGTCAGCTCAGGGAAATTAGCAAGAATCTGTCGCAAAATATAATAAAAAGCCTAGCTGTGTAACTCAACGGCAGAGTGTTTTATGCCCCGGATTCAGCCTCCAGCATCGCAGAAAAAAGGGGAATCACTGTAAGATTTCAAGTTTATTTCACCCCACTGCTTTTGTTATCCTCTTGGGCATTCCTGTCATATTGATGCTGCATTGCAACACACTTTCACCCCGCTTCCCCTACCCCTTGGATGTGGTACTTCCTCTGAGTGAGCTCCAAGGAAACCACACACCGCATCTGTATTTCTCTCATCACCATCAAGTTTTAACTGGACACTAGAAATATTTTCCCATAACGCCACACTATCATTTATTGCTTGCTTATGAACACTCTTGTTTGTTACAAATAGTAATGCTAATACTCACCATTATTATGGTCTAAAATATTTATAAAAACCCTATATTAATGTCATGTCACTGTTTATTAAGTGGTAGAGGTGGTACCAATACTAAAAGATGCTCAGAGAAGTAACTTCAGGATGAAAATTGTAGTATGAATGTATGAAGTAGGGCCACTACTCCATAAATACATCTCATTAGTTTATAATATATGTGGATTGCACAATATCATTCTTCATACTCAGGGAAAGTGGGAATGAATTAGTTATGAGTTGGATTTACTAGATGTTCTTCACAACATATTTCTTGCACTAACTATTACTACCCTGAGCTTCCTAAAGGCCCATTCAAACACTAACACCACCACATCTACAAATTACTTCCAAATGTCTGAGGAATATATGGTCCAATTTGTTTTATTTTTTATAGTCAGTTCTTTAACATTGGTTTTCTTACTTGTTCAAATTACCAACTAATTAAAAGCTGAATGTTGAGCATTATGCTCTGATTATCTGACAGGTTGGCATTTAACTTTAGGCAGTTTGTTTATGGCTCAGTTGGAAAAGCAACATTTTTCTCAGATGAGTAAAAAAAAGAAGATAAAGGTTAGACTCTTCAGACTATGTGAAGATAAGAGATGGAACTATGGTGTATTTGGATAGAAAAATCTCAATATACATGAGCTATAGTGATAGTAACAATTGAGACAATGACTATAATGCTCCATAACAGTATGGAACTAAGGTTTTGAATTCCATAGTATTCAATGACAAGACTTGGTAATTAAAAATATTGAGACTTCAGCTAAAATAGAGTAACTCAAAGAATGGGGCTGTCCAAGACTAGGAATATTTGGCCAACATAAAACAAACTAAATAGTATTTTTTGTAGACTTTTTGGTTTTGGTCTTCTGCTTATTTGTTTTGATTTCCATTATCGTGTTTGTTTTCCTTTTTAGATATTATGTGTGTCCGTGGGTTTTGTTTGTTTGCTTAAGAGAGAGACAGAGAAAGAACATAAAGTTGGATATGTAGGGAGGTTGGGAGGATCTGGGAGAAACTGTAGGAGGCAAAAGACATGATCAATATATACGAAAGGATTTAAAAAAAATATTTACAAGAATGGGGCTGTTACTTGATCACAGATAAATAAATCAAGCACTTCAATTACAGAGGCCCAAAGTTCAAGTGACAGCTTTGCTTTCATTACAACAAACAACAAGAACCAACAAAAAGCCTCAATCCAAAATTTGCATTTATTACTAGACTAATACTACGATGACTTAATTTACCCCGTCCCCTCCCGCCAGCTTTCTAATTCCTGAGGCCTTTTTGGATGTCATACCTGCAGTAAAGCCAGGTCCTCTTCATGAGCTCTTTCCCGTGCCCTTTCCGTTTTCAGCAGATTTGACACATCGGTTAAATAGTTCAGCTTTCTGGGAGGGACTTTCAGTGTTCCACACTGTTGCAGTAATCTTAAAAATGAAATTACACATGCTTATTTTGGGGAACATTACAATTTTTTTTTTGGTTTTGAAACAGTTTCATTTTTTCCCCTACTCTCACACATGTAAGGGCTACAACATTCTCTTTCTTTTTCACAATAGCTAATGGCATTCTTCCCCAAAACAGCTCTGCCTGACAAATCATCACCTAACTTTTCAATACATTAACAACTATCGCAAATCACGGAATGCTAAGGCTACTTTACTACAAGGTTTTTCAGTTCACACATTTAGAAATATATTTTAAAATCAGAATTTCCTACTACTGTTTAAATATGCTTTCTATACTACTATAGTATGTGAGCCTGCCCGTTTAGTATGGATTATTGAACAAGAGAAAGAACTCTAGTTTTAAGTCTGATGCCAAACCTCACTTCTAACTTTTAAAGAATGTAACCAATACAGGTTAATCTAAATGTTCTTAAAGATGACTGAGTTTTATAGTTTAAGGCAGATAAGATGATGACCACTACATGCTTTGTTGTCAAACACTGACATGAATTCTATTCTAATTAAAGTCTTTACTGATCTGTGTGACTCCTACTTCCCCAGCAGACAGTAAAATAATGTTCTCAGACTTGATTCTTCAGTTTCATGAGAAAGTAATCAAGGAGAATAAACTCATTGTAGTTGCTTCTGCCACAGTAACAGTGTGGGTTTTCTAAAAATTCTACTGTAAGTTGAACACCCTCCCAAAGCTAAAACCCAAAATGTTCCAAAATCTGAACCATTTTTAGTTCCAAACTGACGCCACTAGTGGAAAATTCACCAACATAAAACATTGACTCATGCAAAAAAGTATAAAAAATATTATTATAAGGGCTGTTAAAATGGCTCAGCAGGTAAAGGTCCTTAGAAAGTATGCCTGAAGACCCAAGTTCAGTTCCTGGAACACAAGGAAGACCACGTAGACAGACAGAACCAAGGACTCAAAGTTGTGTTTGACCTCCGATAGCACGCCACAGCATATGCTCTCTCTTGCCCATGCACACACAATCAAAATAAAGTTTTAAAGAAATACTGGACAAAATGAATTAAAGCAAAATGAAAAGATAAATAAATGAATTTGTGTTTGGATTTGGGCCCTATCCTTAAGACTCCTTGTTGTTTATATGTAAATATCTCCAAATCTAAAAGTAACCCGAAACCTGAAACACTTCTAGTTGAAAGTATTTCAGAGAAGGAATACCTGCACTTAAGATTTGAAAGCAGCTACATAAGAGGGGAACCCACATTTATCTTTTAGAGACATGTTCAAAATTTTAGTCTTCTTAAAGAAAAATGTTGGTGGCATAAACCCTACAGTTAATCAGTCTCACTAAACTGTTAAGACAATCTTCAGTTTGCCACGAAGTCATCACCAGATTACAATAAACACAGCCTTTTTATAAGATCTAAGCAGCATTCATTTTAGTTTTGAGTTAACAGAGACTGTGATCTTCCTAGGTTTATTAAATCAATTATGTGTAAGATTCAATTTACTGTTCCAAATGTTCGAAGTCATGGTTAGATTTTGAAAAATCTCAAAAACTTATTAAACTTTATAAAAGTACACCCTGAAGAGAGTTAGTACATCAACAACACAATCACTATTTCTCACTGGCTTCTGAGGGCAGTTTGCTTTAGAAGCTATAAGCTGATGGTTTTGTCTGACTCGAAGTACTTTCTGCTCATGGGGGTAGGCAATTGTGACTTAGTTTATATCAATTATGCAATAAAATCAGTCCAAACACAGGAGCATTTTCTCAGCGAGGTCAGCCAGAGACCATCCCCAGAGTTTTTGAACTGGCACTAAGGAGTAAGAGATTCCCCCCACCCCCCATTTTCTTTACAAGGCTGAAGAGATATATGTAGGTTTGATATATTGTGAACATCTGAAAACTTTGTAAATGAGTTCCTGCCATAAGTATCAGTTTGGGGGGTATTAGGTTAAAGAAAGTCAAACACACTGATTTTATCCATTGTATATGGTAATGTACCTAAACACAATCCATCACTGATCACTTTCAGTCATGAAGTATCTTTTAGAATATTAGAGAAATGCTGTTAAATTTACTCAAAAGTCCAAGTTAGGATTTGGTGCTATACTCCATATATATGTATCAGAAGAAGTAAGAATAACTTGTGTATGGTTATTTTGCTAACTATATGTGTGCAGGTGTACATATGTGTAGGAACCAGAGGGTAAACCCAGGTGTTGTTGCTCAGGTACCATATACTTCATCTACTTTGTTTTTCTGAGGCATAATATCTCATTGGCTTGGAGCCTGCTGATTAGGCTAGGCTGGCAGGCCCGGGAGCACCAAAGATCTTCCTGTTTCTGTCTCCTCAGTACTGGGATCACAAACCTGAAATTTCTATGTGACTTTTGGGAATTGAACTCAGGTCTTCGTGCATGTACAGCTAGCAATTTACCATTTGAATTTATCTCTATTCATCATTTAAGTTATGAGTTTTAAACCTACATTCTGCATATAAGAAAACAGGCATTTATTTGTCTATATATGTGTAAATGATGAAATTAGAAAATAGATCATGAGACGTGAAGAAGACATGGCGGGGAGCATAATGGCATAAATGTGGTAAGAAAGTCAAAAGAGGTGGAAGGAAGGGGGAAGGGAACCAGCTAGATAGTTAACGAGGTTACAGAGGAAAGCAATGAGTGAAAATTAAAGTATAATGACACAAGTATAGGAAAATGTCATTGCTTTGGTAAACCTGAAAATTAATAACTACAAAGTTTTAAAGGTAAAATAGGGAGGAAATAGGCAAGCCTTGAATTAGTTCTACATGAAGAGAACACCTACCTGCTGAACTTATCTTTTTGCTAACAACGGATGATCACTATGTACCCTATTATCTTTCCTACATTATATCTGACTATTTGTCCTATATTGTAACAGAGTAGCTACATTGCACTAGCTTATGTTTTTCTCTTCTGGAGATACTCATGGTCCTTCACTAGTAGGCTATCACTCCAGTAACTGGTCTGTGAGCTGAAGTCCAGAAGTTCTTTAATCTGTCGACTTCGCTCAACAAACTCCTCCTCCACCTGTCCCACCCCAAGTCATGCCATTCTTTCTATAGGTTGAGAATCATTCTTGAAGAAAAAGGAAAGAGAATTATGCTCAAAGGACCCATCACATGAAAAGACCCAGACCACAAACATTTCTTTCAAACCTGAAGCCGAAATGTAAAACCTTTTTGTACGACAAGAAAAAGTTCTGTACTAAGAGTAAAGTGTTTACCCAAAACCACCGGTGTCACTGTGGCTTTAAAGAACATTTAAAAAGCAACTTCCATTAGTGATGTGCCACAAGATTAAGAGCAATTTCTGGGAAAATTATACTTGTTGTTTGTATAATTGAGCAATACAATATGAGGTTGTAAGGGTTCGTTTTTGTCAATTTGACACAAGTCTTTTTATAAGAGGGAAGGAACTTCAATTGAGAAAATACTGCTGCTAGATTGGCCTGGGGTACATTTTCTTGATTGACAATTGATATAGGAGGGTCCAGCTCACTGTGGGTAGTACCACCCCTGGGCTGGTGGTTTTGGGTGCTGTAAGAAAGCTGACTAAGCAAGCCACCAGCAAGTAATGTCCCTCTATGACTTCTGCTCTAGTTTCTGCCTCCAGGTTTCTGTCCTGGCTTCTCTCAGTGATCAATTACAAGCTATAAGTGAAATAAACCCTTCCCTTTCCAAGCTGCTTTTAGTCCGGGTGTCTTATCAAAGCGAAAGAAAAGCTAATTAAGATAGAGGTGAAGGAAACTAATAGGATATGACAATAAACAACAGCAATGGAAAACAAGACAAAATTAAGAGTTGTGAACTATTACTCTAAGTTATTAAAATTACAGTATAAAGGAGTTTACAGTCATCATGTATTTTCAAATACTGACACAAAACACAGAACAGTGAAACATGACAATAAAAGTTACATAATGACCGTATTCTTTTGTATATATTCTCTGAAACTTAGAAGTATGTATTTCCAAACTTCATTTCATTTAGTAAGTATAGTCCACTGACTGAAGTCATTTAAGAACACAGGAACAAGTCACAGTTTAAAAATAATTATAATTTAATCATGTCCAATTGTGTATTACCTTTTCTTCAAGTAGTTGAGGTGACACTGAATTTGTTCTTTTCCTTTTATGTTTTTGGTTAAAATTTCTCTGAGGGAAAAAAAAGAGACTAAGTATTACTTTGAAACATAATACAATCTGTCTTTCAAAAATGTTTCAAGTGTTCAACCTCACTAGCTAGGCAGAACCACTCACCTTCTCTTTTATACTAGATACATTCTTTAATAATATAACTTACCTTTAACTGAAATTCATGATACTAAGATTTTTAGTATTATACATCTATGTTTATATTACTTGTGTATATTAATACAAAGTAGTGGGTTTTATTTTGACATCTTCACACACACAGACACACACATGTGCACAGCGATTTGATAGTATTTTTTTTCTATTACACACAAAACACTTTAAGCAGAACAGTGACATTTTCTTTGAATCATATTGTATTATAATTTATACACCCAACTTTTCTGATGCAGTTAAATTCTACTGTGGAGGATTTCTCTTTTAGTTTCTTTGTATTTCATGTAACATAGTGTTTTCATAGAAAGTGTTATTTTTGTGAATACAACTTATGAAGAATCAATATTGAAAGAGCAATTTAAAAATTTTAGATTGCAAATCAATCCACACAGACTTGAATTTTACTTCTCTGATAGATTCCAAGTTTCTACAATTAAGAAAATCTTTTTTTGTTAAAGGCTAATGCTGTCATGGTTTAAATTTGATATGCCTGCCATTGGCATATGTGATGAATGTTCTTTAGTTGTAGAAACTTGAGTAAGTAGAGACTGGCTGGAGGATGTGCAGGACATTGGGGTGTGTTTTTAAGTGACACCTGGTCCCTGGTCCCTGTCTTGTGCTCTGCTTCCTCCAAGTCATGCTTCCACTACCAGATGTTCTGCCTCCCAAGGGCTCAGAATCAATGGATCCAAGGACTATGGACATGTCTTCTGAAACTCTGGGCCTAGACAATCTTTCTGCTGTTTAAGATACTTATGTTAAGCATCCTGTCACCGCCATGAAAAAATTAACTAAAATATGTAGTAATATTTAGAAAAATGTAAATAGTAAATACCAAAGTAGGAGGAAAGAGTTGCAAAGGAAATTTGAAACTCACAGGATTACTGATTCCATCATACTTTGCAAATATTCTTCAGTATTTTTTGGAAGAGGCTGCCAGGTTTTTCTCTTGTTGGACGCTACTTTTATCCGCTTTAGGTTAATAGACTTTGCTTGTCCTGTTGCTGGTAATACAAGAGAGTCTAATCAATATAGAAGTTTGCAGTTTTACTTAAAAATGATTTTAATCTAAAGAACATTAATGGCATTATGAGACTAAAACAACCTACTCTTTAATTCACATCTTATTGCAATTGTAACACCTCAGTTACTGAAAGTGCATTTGTCTGTTGTGATGATAGCTGATATATTATCAAGAGACTTGTATTACATTGCGAGTTAAGGAATCTTATGAAGAAATGATGTTTAAGAAAACGTTGAGTACTTCAGACTAATTGACTCTGAAAAGTTTAAGCTAGAGATTATAAATTATCTGTAAAGTACTGGCAGAGCTGAAAGTACAGATGTCTTGAAGAAGTAGGACTGTCTATTTCTCAGAGATGAGTAATTTAGAGTGGGGGACAATGATTTGCTTTCTAGTTCCAATCAATGTGGCAGATACACCTCTATATATTCACTAGAAGAATGAAATACTATGAACGTGGCTGCTTATGACCACCTTTTACTATCGATGAACTCATAACCAAGATGCTGAAATTTTTTTCATGAAAATTGGTAGGAGACACTTTAAACAAGACATACAAGAAGAGCAATACCTTTAGAGGACAGATGCCCTGCATGACTTTTGTTTCTTTTCGCTGTGTTTCCAACCTAGAGATATACAAACAATTAAACATCAGATGAAAAGATGGTTCTTCAATCCTTTTCCATGTATACTAAAGAGTAGTATTATTACTGCTGTTTCTACAAATAAAGTATTTATTATGAACAAAGAACGCACTAAAGAATGGTGACATGAATTACAATTTGTAGTAAAACTGACTTTTAGACTTTTTAAGGGAATAGCTTTTTCTAATCAAAGAGATCTAAATGGTATTTGATATTTTATTACCTCATTCTCTGGAAAATCCACTTCTTCATCAGCTCTTTGTTTTGAATTTCTCTTTAACTGTTGAGATTTCCTCTTAGAAGCATTTGCTTTACCAGGCATTTTGACCTAAACAATACAATTGCAATGATACATAGTCTGCAGAGGTGAAAGAAAAAAACCAGAAAAATGATAAAGATTTGTACCATGCTTTGTTGAAAACATTACATGCAATTTTTCTAAACTATGTCTTCAGAATTTGGGAAAAACATCTTACGTTGTTAAAACATTTAAACTTGTTAAAAAAAATCACTTTGGTGCTATAGATGCAGCTCAGGGGGTTGAACACTAATCTAAAATGCTTCCCAAGCACTGTATAAATCTACCTTGGTGTACATGGCTATAATTTCAGCACTCAGGAGTAGCGTCAGGAAGACTAAGTTTATGGTCATCTTCAAGAATGAGTTTGAGGCAGGTCTTTAACAAGATAAATGAAACCCTGTCTAAAAATCAAATGAACAAAGGCCTTTGGTTCTTATCAGTAAAATGGTATCAATTTAATTTCACTCCTTAAAATGGCTACAATTTTCATGGTTTCAGAAAAATTTTTAAAGATGCTTTTGAATTTATATATTCCCAAATGCAAAATATCTCCATTTTTAAATTCAAGAAAAAAAAAAGAAAAAGAAAAAAAAAAAAGAAAAACAAAACAAAACAAACAAACAAACAAAAAAACCAAAAAACCAGACACAGGCAAAGTCAGTTCAGAGAACTGTACTGGATTTTAAGTAATAGGTTCACCACAACTCAGTTTACAGCAAAGGTGAGGGCTTGTACTCGAATTCCACACTAGGAATAGTAATATGAAAATCTGCCACTCATAAGGCGGTAAGCTGTACCTCCTTAAGGACTGTGTGGATTGTAGTAAGGGTACAGAAAGAACTGACTACTCAGTTCGTTCATGAATTACAAACCAGACAAGGGAATGGCGACGGAGGTCATCAGTGACAACATTTACAGTAACATATTTTCTCTAGCAGACCTTTAAAATGAAACTTCTTATTTCTGCTAAAAAGAAAAGAGGCATGGGCTATGTATTCCTGCATTTTATAATGAGTGGATAGGTTATAAGGCACAGTATAAAAAAGTATATATATACATACATATATGTGATTTTCTTCTTCTTTATTTTTTTTCACTCCCAAGACAGGGTTTCTCTGTATAGCCCTGGCTGTCCCGGACTCACTCTGTAGACCAGGCTGGCCTTGAACTCAGAGACTCGCCTGCCTCTGCCTCCCAAGTGCTAGGATTAAAGGTGTGTGCCGCTGCCTCCCAGTCATGTGTTTAAATTCTTAGCATCTACTAAGATTGATACCCCTCTCTTTCTGAACTCTAAGCATGTCTGTGAACCACAAGGTGCCTGGTTGTCATGAAGAGTGGAGGAGAACACCGAGGCCTCTGGACTAGAGTTAGAGATGGCTGTAAGCCAGCATGCGTGCGTGTGCTGAGAGTTGAGCCTGGGCCCTTTGAAGAGCAGCCAGTGCTGAGTCCTTGAATATTTTTTTTTTTTTTAAAACTAAAGTCTCAGCTGGGTGGTGGCGCACGCCTTTAATCCCAGCACTCGGGAGGCAGAGGCAGGCGGATCTTTGTGAGTTCGAGGCCAGCCTGGTCTACAGAGCAAGATCCAGGAAAGGTGCAAAGCTACACAGAGAAACCCTGTCTCAAAAAATCAAAGTCTCCTCTCCCCTGCTTAAATTAAGACAGAAAGAATACATGGAAAAAAATAGTTGAAAGATCACACACCACACTTAGGCATCATATATCAAATCGGGTACAAAAATTAGTAGAACCCCTGCCCCCACAAAACTCTTTATCTGTTATTGAGTAGTGTGGTACATTAGTCTATGCCCAGACTTATTCCCTTGTTTCAGTTCTAAAATACCGAATTCCCTGAGCTTAACTTCTACTAAAACACCAACCCACATTGAGTAAGCTTTCCTTGTGGACCTCATCTAGAACTGATATTAAAACAGTTCATGGTCACTAAAAAGAACATCTACAGGAGAGGGAAGGTGGGACTGAGATCTTTAGATTAAAATGCTAGGAATTCCTTCTCACTACTGTTAAAGGGAGGTAGGGTCAATGCCACTCCATGTTCTATCATAGCAGAACCTGCAGCTGTTTGAGCAATACAATATGGTGGGTGTGCTTCTGTAGAGGTGTACTGCCTAAGCAGGAAGAGATTGGCAGCTTCAATTTTCTTGTGCTCAAAAACACCTGGTCTTGGAACCTAGTCACCAAGCGATGGGAAGGTCAACATGAAGAGGAATTGAAACCCATGGCAAAAGCCTTATCTGAGCTTGCAGAACCACCTTAATGCCAGGTGCATGTGCCTGAGCCAATATATCTTTAATTATATAGAAAACATACAAGCCAGGCCTACTAATTGGTACAAGAGCTACAATACTAAACTTTGGAAGAAAATACATGATTAAATATTCACTTACTATGTTTAACACCTACATACACTCTTTACCTTGACATTTACAGTCGCTAAGAATCTAGCCCTACTCAGCTGCTAATCCTTCTTTCCTGTTACTCTTACATTAAATTTCCCTCTGAGGCTAGAGTTGATTTCTTAACACACTGAATATTTCTGTCTCTCATGCCCATATTGTACGTACGCTCCACCTGAATTGTTTTCTAGTCTATCTCTGCTCACCTGGATTATGAGCCATCATCTTTCCAACTCCTTTCTAATCACACCTCTTCATTTCTCCACACATATCTGTGGGCTCTTATAATCCCTATCATCTGACACAGGTGGGTTCTGTCAATCGTTTTCTCCAGATATATACTCAATAACATTTAACTCAAGGCTACTCTAGATGTGATTTACAAACTCTGTTGTAAAATTATATTAAACGCAGAAATTGAGAATAAAGTTTCTATAGAAATTTAACAGAACTTCATGTATGTCAAATTCCCTCACAAAGAAATTGGCCATGTCTTTTGAATTTCATTTTTTTCTAAATAGCTAATACTTAAAAATAGATTAGCTTTTCAGATCAGTTTCAGATTCCAATAATTGTCAAGAAAGTATAAGGTATTTTCATATGCCACCTAATGATTCCTTCTCATTGTCTCCTCACCAACCATTAACATCCCACATCAATGTGGTATAACAGCTACCAGTGAATGTACCTACACTGACACACTCTATTACCCCCATTCAAAGTTTACCCTAGGGTTCATTGCTGGTGTTGAATGCATTGTCTATGAAGTTGGCTATTAATTTAAATTTTAAATTGTAGTCAACAAAATCATCAGTACTGAGTGACTAGAGATACAAAAGCAAGACCAAACAAAACTGGTTCTTTGCCAGTGGTGTTATCATGGTCTCAAGCTGAGGTAACAGACTGGAGTGGAAAAGCTTGCCAGCCTCAGCCTCATTAACACTGGGATGTTTGTGTTGTTATGAGAGGCTGGTTTGTGCACTCTAAGATGGTTAGCAGCATTCTCATCTCTCTTCAGACACTAGAACAGCCCCACTCCCAAGCAGTGACCACCAAAATTGTGTCTGGTCACTATCAAATGTCCCTTGAGTCAAAAACGCCCCACGGTGGACAGCCAATGGCATGATGGGTAAGAACAAACTATAAATGGGAGACAAGTGGTCCAAGTTCTAAATCCCAATTAACTAAAATCTTGCTTGCCCCAAATCCAGTAAATTAACTAAAATTTCCCACCGATAAAACAGTGCCAATATCAGGTACCTATAATGCTGAAAGGGCAGCACAGAATACACAAAACTCCTAGATAAGTCTATGAGACAGACATTGTAAGAATCTAAACAAGGGTCATGATTTCTGTCAATTTCAGTATATATGTATATATACTGAATATATATTTATATATATATTCCTCACTGTTCCCAGATCCATAGGAAATCAGAGCTTAATAGTGGGTTGGCAGACACTGATATGAAAACAATTACTATGTATGAAATATACTAAATGCAATCAAATTGACCTGTAAGCAGGTGTGGGAATATTCTAGGAGGAAGACAAATGAAGCACTTAAGTGAAATCAGCTAAGTCTGACGGCATGACAGCTCAGAGACAGCTCAGAGGAGAATGCTGTGCTTGATGAACCACTCGGTTCAGACTTGAAATGCTTATGGGAGGCGTGGAAAACGGCAGCCAGGCACCCTGCTTTTTTGTTGGTGTTCTTGGCCGGTTTGCTGAAACTACTTTAAAGCCACTTATCTCAATTCAGACCTTTATCTGCGAGCCACAAACGAGAACGAACTTTGGCGAGACAGCCGGGCGCTGCCGGATGAGGTCCGGAGCTTCAGGAACGAGGACCGGGAGGGTCTGGGGAAACAGGGAAGGAGGGCGAGTGTTTTCACTCCTCTCTGGAGAATCTCAAGCCGCTGCCCTAGGTGGCAGAGACCTATTTGGATATTAGACATCGCCCTTAAAAAACAAAAACCAAACAAACGACGGAGTTTACCACAAGCGCGTGAGGCTCAAAATTCATCCCTTTCTGGATCCGTCAGCCGCTTCACCTCTTTCTCCACTCATCGCCGTTTATTGCCGGCCTCAGAAAGCACGGCTCAGTCTTTTCGCGCCCAAGCAACCGGAAAAGGAAAGAAAAAAAACCACAAACCAAAACAAACACCACGACCCGGGAACCGGAAGCGCCGGTGAAGCAGTAGGAGGCCCGTCCGCCGGGCACGTTCTTATACGTCACAGAAACGCGTCCGCGACGGCGCGATCGGATTGGCTGGTCCGGAGGGTGGTGTCGGCCACGCCCCCCTGATTGGACTGGCTGGCGAGCTCCCGCTGCGAGCACCTGTGAGCCGCGGGGATCGGGGTTCGGCGGTGGGGTCGGGGCTCGGCCGGGTCGCCCCCCACTTTGTGGCCTGTGAGTAGGCCTGTGCGCTGTGGAGCACGTCAGGCTTGCGAGTCTCTGCCCTTGCTGTGTTCATCTTTCTGCCTCCTGTCTCTGTCCTCCGGTGCTTTCCTTCCTTCTTTGCCGTCCTACTGTGACAGGGAGCCCCCCCTGCTTTCCCCTGAAGTTTAGATGTTCACTTCGACCGACTTCTCATTTTCGGTTAGGGCCGTGGAATTCGGAGGCCACCGCTGCCAAGTGCTTCTCAGCCGCGCGGTAGCGTTATCCCTCTCCTCCCTGGCTTCCCACGCACGCGCAAGGCAGAGAGAGGTCACTCGTAGTTAAAGAGGTGCCCTGGGTCCACGCTGACCTGGGGCTCAGGTTGTTTGTAGGTTGTTTCTGCTGCTAGCCGTGGTGGGACAAAAAGTAAGAGATAGGAGGAAGAGATGAAAAAGAAAAGGCACGTCTAATTTGATACAAAAAGAAACATTTCTAGCCTCTCCGCTTTGCCTTTCAGAGCGCGACATATGCGTGTGATTTTTAAATCACTTGCTGATCTTCTTCCAACATAGTTTTGTGTTTAATGATTTCCTTGGGGTTAGTGGTTCTCAACCTTCCTAATGCTGCTGCCCTTTTTAGTACAGTTGCTCATGTTGTGACCCACTGCCCCCTCCCCCCAACCATAAATTGTTGCTCCTTCAGAACTGTAAATTTGCTACTTTTATAAATTGTAATGTGAATATTTTTGGAGATAGAGGTTTGCCAGAGGAGTCGCGACGCACAGATCGAGAACTTCTGCCTTAGGCTGATAGTTCCTTTATGCTAATAACTTTCATGCTCTGTGGATCCACCACCTACGCCAATCGTACAGTGGGCGTGGCTAGCTTTTGTGACGTGTTAATGTAGAGCTACATGTAAACAGTTACACTTGCACTTGAAAGTTATTTTTGTTTCTAAGTTACTTTTTTTTTTTTTTTTTTAATTTGGTTTTTGGAGTCAGGGTTTTTGCATGTAGTCCAGGCTGTCCTGGAACTACACGTTGTAGACCAGACTGGCCTTGAATTTAGAGCGCTGCATTTAAAGGCTCCCTGGCTTTTTCTAAATTACTTTTATGTGGGGAATATACATTCATATATACATACATAAATATCTGGAGTTGTGAGGATGGCTTTTGCTTTTTCTCACTTTAACACATTCTAATCGTCATTAACACATTTGCATAATGCCTTGAATTCTTGAAAAATTTTTTTTTTTTTTTGGTTCTTCGAGACGAAATCTTTTTTTAATGACTTTTCAAAGAAAGTTTAGAAGTCCTATTGTCAATAACAACAGTACTGTTAAATGTGTGTGTATGTATGTATGTATGCATGCGTGTATATATGTATTTATTAGAGACAGGGTTTCACTATGTAGCTCTGACTGGCCTGGAACTCCCTATGTAGACCGGGCTGACCTTGAACTCACTGAGATCCACCTGCCTCTTCCTCCCGAGTGCTTGGATTAAAGGTAGACTGTTATTTTGAAGTGCTGTTTTAACTTTTACTAATTCGGCCTTTGGCTTTTCGGGAAGTCCTTGTTCGATCGGGACCCTCTTTTATCATTTGTGCAGTTTGAAGAAAGATTCATTAAAACTTGGTTTGAAATGGGTGTGTTTCCTGTCTCCACTGTAGTCCAGACATTTGTCAAATCCCTTTCAGTGTTCCGCATCACTGCAGAAGTAGTGCAGATGTGAGCTCAGCATTCTCACCACTCATCCTTTCGGCTCTCGGAAATCCAAATGGCTTGAAATAAAAGTGGATGACAAGGCTCTTTTGGATTTAATAGGTTAAAAATTACAAAAGCTTTAAAAAGTTGGTATTGCATTTGTTGTATTTATGTTTATATTCTGTTCTGCTAACTTAAAAAAAATCCATTTGAGTGTATTGCATTTACAGGGATATATCTTGATTCTTTCACCTAATACTTATTTGAGCCTGTTTACTTTAATAGCAAGTATACTCAACATAATTTTAACTTTTAAATTGATGTCAAAATACTTAGGGAAAGCGCACACAGTGGTAGTTGGATAGAGTACTAATCTCCATAAACATAATATATTAATATCATTTATATGCAGATCATAACAGTCATCCTAAAGGCCTCCTTTTTTTCCTGTACTGTCATAAATGAATACTTCTGCAAATTCTGATGTGCAGAAATATTACTTTTTTCTATTTTGTAAATTTATTTTAATAGTTTCATTAAATTCTATCATTTGTCTGTTGTAATGAATGCACTTATTCTAATTTTAGATGTTTGTAATGTTTCTGTTTTTCTAGTGTAAATAAAACAGCAGAGAATGTCTGTTTTTATCTTTCATTATAGAAGTTATCCCAGGATGGATGTTATTCACTTTAAGGGGGTTACATTTTTGAGACCTTTTATGTATTAGAAGTTTACATTGTAAAGTAGTTAAAACACTATGTTTCTATCAGTGATTTTATGTTTCTTGTTTTGTGATCCATAATATCTAGTTGGCAGTCTTCAATGTTTTACTAACTCGGAAGGTCAGAAGTTAATATGAAAAATAGAATTTCTAAAAAATATTTTTAGATTTACTATTTTTTGTGTATGAGTGTTTTGCCTGCCTGTACATCTGTGAACCCGTTCATGTTTGGTGCTCAAGGAGGTGGTGAGCCTCCATATGCATGCTGGGAATCGAACCCAGGAATCCTTTGCAACAGCAAGAAATATTCTGAACTGCTGAGCCAGTTCTCCAGCCTGAAAAATAGAATTTTAAATTCATTTTGCCCAGTTAGTGTAAAGCACCTGGTGAGACAACTATAATAATGAAATCTGTGTAGACTTTCTTCTGAAAACTGTGGGCTCTATATGTTGAGGCTGTGTAAACACTTAAGTGTTGAGTAATTGAGGTGGTGTGCTGCTTTCCTGTGTGGGTAAATATTTGGCATATGCAGTGAACTATGAGTTTTCTAGTATTTCTAGTACATAAAATGCATAAATGTCAAAGACAGAAATAAATTTGATAGATCCTTGGAGACCAGGTCATGGATGCCTTGGGTGCCTGCTAGTCCTATTTACTGCATTTTTCTCTACACACCAATGTAGTATCTACCATAAACTAAAAGATTTGTAAGTGGGCTTTGAATGAAAATTAATTGAAATACTATGTTACAATCTACCCCGTGATGTAACCTTTGAAAAATTCGGTGGGAGTATGGTATAGTCAGATTTGCACTTTATCAGTGTCAGATGTGTTGGAGGGGGCCAAGACTGGTCTGTAAGACCAGCTAAGAGGCTGTGGAGGAAGAAGGCAGTATCTAGAACAATAGTCATTAAGAAGAACAAGGGTAAGTGTAATATAATATCAGGTGCAAAATCAGAAAAGGAAAGAAAAATGAAACAGGACCAGTATTCTATCTTTTCTTTCTCCCAACTCACTGAAAGCCCCGGATTTCCTTCACAACTCTAACTATGTATATTGTTTTTCTAAAATTTTCTAGGTCACTTCTCACTTCCTTTTGGGAGTATCCATGCTTCACCATGTTGAGAGCTAAGAATCAGCTTTTTTTGTTATCACCCCATTACCTGAAGCAATTAAAAGATACATCAGCCTCCAGATGGAAACGGCTCCTACATCAGCGGCAACCCATCCACCCAGAATGGGCTGTACTGGCCAAAAAGCAACTGAAAGGCAAAAACCCAGAGGACCTAATATGGCACACGCCAGAAGGCATCTCTATAAAGCCCTTATATTCCAGGGCAGATACTAGGGACTTACCTGAAGAATTTCCAGGAGTGAAGCCCTTCACTCGTGGGCCATATCCCACCATGTATACCTTTAGACCCTGGACCATCCGTCAGTATGCAGGCTTTAGTACTGTGGAAGAAAGCAATAAATTCTATAAGGACAATATTAAGGGTAAGATTTCAATGGGAGGCATGATGCTTGTGATGACATAGGAGCCATTAATTCATTCTGGAAACATGACATTCATTTTGCGCTTGAATTTACTGTGAAACAAATGGGTGCTTCTCAACTTCTGTGGTCAAGAAGATAAGAGGCAACTGTAAAAAGTGTAAACTTCTTGGAGATAAACCACACTTTTAGCTACATTGTAGAAAAGAAATGAGATGAGGATGCAGGAAGGAAAGAGATGGAGTTTATCTTTGGAAAGCTTTTAGTTTTATGGAGCTAAGAACTGGAGGGAAAGCTTAAATGTAAGTGACGCCAAGCTCCATAGTAGGAAATGAGGTGCTAACCATATATACAGTGAAATCTGTCCTTCATTAGAAAATTATGTCTGCAGTTTCCCTTCTAATGTATGATAAAATCTTAACTGCATGCTAAACTTTAGAATTTCTAGGTTTATGTTGCTTAGGGAAGGATTGGATTTATGTTTAATGTAGTTTAGTTATTTGGAAATATTGTATAGGGACTGCATATTTAGCTGAGTGGTAGTGTGCTTGCCTAGTGTGCTGAAGGCCAACTTGGATTTCATTCCTAGTTTTATTAACATTTTTTGGGGGTGGTGAGAATAAAGTCTAAAATTCTAGTTCAACAATATTTTGAATGGCTATGGCATTATGCTATGACCATGGTAAAGAATAAACAAAGTAAGAAAGCATATATATATATACTAAGTTGTGTTAAGTATATCTGATCAGCTAGACATTTTTGTGAATTTTGAAAACATCTCAATAAAAACAACTACAAAAATTATTTGATGTATGAGATTGAGAAAAATATCCTTGTGCAGGTGTGAGATAAGTGATACGCTGTTGTTTCTGTTATTTCTCATCTATCTAGAAGCTCAGTTTGTGTGTCTTAGCCTCTTTGGAAACAGCTGACTCTTAGGAAGCCAAGTATTTGTTTCATATGAGCATGGGAATGAGGTAATCTGCTTCCGGTTACTTCATTATGAGACTCTAACATAACTATCATTTGTCTTTGTTTTTTGTTTTTTCTTATGTACTTAGCTGGTCAGCAGGGATTGTCCGTTGCTTTTGACCTGGCAACACATCGTGGTTATGATTCAGACAACCCTCGAGTTCGCGGAGATGTTGGAATGGCCGGAGTTGCTATCGACACTGTAGAAGACACGAAAATCCTTTTTGATGGCATTCCTTTAGAAAGAATGTCCGTTTCCATGACCATGAATGGAGCAGTTATCCCAGTCCTAGCAATGTTTATAGTAACTGGGGAAGAGCAAAGCGTGCCGAAGGAGAAGCTCACAGGCACAATTCAGAATGATATCCTAAAGGAGTTTATGGTCAGAAATACTTACATTTTCCCCCCAGAACCGTCCATGAAAATTATTGCTGACATTTTCCAATACACAGCAGAGGTATGCTTTCTTTCTGCAGAGTTTGCTGTAGTAATTAATAGGGATTTTCACAAAG